CCTGGTTAAGTTATCTGGCAACAAAACTAATTTCCTGAGTAATTGAGGCACAAATTTTGCTTTGAAATTATGTAAAGTAAAATCCGCCATGCATAATTTTGATGGAACCTTTTCGGTTGTCATTTTTTTAATTTGATGTTTCTCATTATTTCATCTCATTCCATTTTATATATAAAGTTTTGGTGCTCCCGAAGTATGCGAACCAAGATGGCGGACATCGGAACGTAACATGGGTAACAGGTTAGGGTTAGGCGATAATTTCTTTCCAATTATCCTTATTTTAGTCCTATTATTAGTTCGAAGACTAGCCAAGAGCCTCCCGTAGTATTTATACCTAAAATTATGGCCTAACCCTAACCTAGTACACATATTACATTCTGATGTCCGCCATCTTGGTTCGCATACTTCAGGAGCCCCAAAGTTTTTATAAACACGCACTGTATTTTTCTGAAGTTTCAGTGCAAAAAGGAACAAATTTTGGAAAAGAAAACAATAGCAAGATAATTTTAAAAGTTTCGCATTTATTAAAATTACATTTCATAGTATTATGTGTAAAATCAATTACTAACCAAGATTTGAAAAATTATTTCGGGTTGAACTCATATAAAAACATCTTTTCAATTGCCTAGCGCCTCTTCAGTGAGCTGTGGTCTCTTCCTCAATATTGTACATCCGTATCGTCTAATATGGGTTAATCGTATTCAATTCAACCCTTGCCGGACGTGGTCCGTATATGAACCGGTATCAGTTGGTAAATTAATACAGAAGTACTTTGAGTGTCGCTTAATTATGTCACACTGTTTCCACTTTTGGCCTGTCGTAAATTGACGATTATTTTATCAACCAGGTAAATCAGTGGATAGCCGAACCAATCGTGGAATATGGCTAATCTCTCAAATTTGTGCGATTATTTTAGAAAAAGGCACCAAGGGGTTAAATTGACTTCAATTGAGTTGAGTAGTATAAAACAGTCGACGCCGGGCGAGTCGGCGTTCACTTGTTGCTGAAAGTAATCGCCGGTCGGTCGATAGATAGGTCGCCATCAGATGCCGAGTCTATATTATATACTGTACTTGTTCTCCCTAGATGAGTGTATAGATATAAAGGAATATTTCGAAACATCAGGCTTCAGAAGTCACAAAAAATGTTGTTAAACATTTTTAAAGTCATATAATGAATGATAGTTTCGTACGTTTGTGTTTATTTGCAAATTGTATTTATTTTTTACAAATTGTTGAAATTTTGTGAAAACTTCATACATCGGTTGCGAAACTTCAACTAAAGATATTCGTTAAATAATCAAAGTTGTTTTCACTCGAGACGTTTCGGAAAATATTTACCGCGCGCCAGTCCTGACAGAATAACAGTCGTTTCTCTGTATCCAATAGTCAATTATAATCGGCGTTTTTAGAACAAGCTTTTCTAAATATTACCCCTAATATGATAAATATTTGAAAGCAGATTCATAGGTACTTATTGAGGGGTGATAAAATTGTATTCACTGATATATTAGACAGAAAAGCAGGAGTAAGTTGGAAGGGGCTTCTTGGGTCAGGTGCAGGCGTTGGTACCCGCAAATTTTAAGTCAACAGTCTTGAAGAACATATTGTGCATATTATTGAAGATGACGAGAGATATTTAATTGATTGGTTCACTTCAACTTATGTGTGCAGTTCTGGGACTAGAATAAATAATTTTCCGTGTTCGATCTTTTGCATTCGAATCAGTATCGTGTTACGCCGTAGCGTTCTCGCTACTTCGGATCTTTTGTAGAAAGCCCTCCCCTCTCCGCCATCAATGTGATATTTGAGAAAACACCGGGTTCCTGGTTTCAGGTACTGCAGATTGCGCTCGTTACGTTTTAAATAATTTTTTAGTTAGTTTAGCGGTGGCGGGGGTGCTTTTTTGGCCTAAGTTTTCTACAAAAGTTTGTACTTATTATTGAGATAACGTATAAAATTTTGTTTAATATATTTGTCATTTTTTCTTTTGCGCTATATCATTATAATAGTTCTATCCTATCATATTTAATGGTGAGGTTGTGCAACACTTTTCATGAATCAAGTTCATCCAATGCTAAAAAGGAGATCATGATGGTTGTCCATCAAATGTCAGAAAGCAGAATTCGAGAGATGTAAGTTTTACTTAAAACGCACACTCAGCGAAAAACGGATCATATTTAAGCTTGACCTTTTTTGTGATTCATGTTTGATTGTGTAATGTGAACTTTTTTCAACCTTACACATCACGTGATTTGTCACGTAGACATTCAAACTTTGTTTTGCGGAATTTAATTTGCTTGTTTTGCAATGAATCGTTTTTCTAGTTTATTAAAACAATAAAATTTATTCGAATTATCGTTAAGCATTAAATGTCAGGTAAATACAAATATTTAATAATATAAAAATTTCTCATAGACCGCCACATCAAAGTTTCGACGATTTAATGCTATTACGCAAAATGTCGTAGTGCGCTTCACCACATGCGCGCTTGAGTTATCGTCATCTATTTGTTTTCAAAAAATTAAGAATTTTTTCACCGCGTTTTATATGTATTACGTACGTACAATTTATTGTAAAACTTCATCGCAATCTTGGTGATAACTCAAGATTAATTAAATTAAATATCGCACAACCTTTTAAAGCTATTTAAGATACAGGGTATCCATAAAGCCACTTCGCTATTTGAACAATTCGCAAATGACGAATTTTAAAAATATTTTATGCTCAATATTTCTTTTTGGATAAGATATATTTAGCTCATACATACATTACAAAATGATTCATTTCTTGTGTATAATTTTTTAGGTAATGTTATCTTCTTTTTTCATCGTTTTTTAAATTTTATAAAAAAATTTCCAAATGAAATTGAAAGGATTTTCAAAGAATCTCCGTAAAACATAGGTGATATCAGTCTGTGTCGTAAATTGGTCGTCGAGTTTTTGAAGTATGTTCGGCATAAACGGCATATTTCATATGTTAACAAAACTTTTCTTCTGGTTAAAAGATATGATATTTCTCTATCGGATGAACTCGCTTTTGTATGTACTCACGTAATGTAATCTCCGCTCACCGTCTGATTCTGAACCTTTTAAAAGTCGCCATCTACGTACCAGAAACGTGACCACTTCTGTATTAAAACGCCGATGCCATGAATTGTACCAATGTCACGGATTGTGATGGATGTTTATGGAGAATTGAGTGGTTAGTTTTAACCCCGATGTAAAATATAATATTGGGCGCGATTCTCTTGCGGTTATGCTATTGGGCAGTGTAGATAGTTAAAATACTCGAGTAAGTTATTTCAAAATTCTTTGATTTTCTTCGGGTGGGTGATAGACGGTAAAAAACTTTGAAATCGCCGTTGTTAGGTGGGGATATTTCCGGCGACTTAAAATCATTTTTCCGGCATTGGTAAAAAACAAAAATTCTTCATCGTTTCAAAGTTTTTTCGCATTATATACCTGATTGACTAATGTATTATAATTCGAGACGGGATTTTCAGACAGGTTCTGGATCTTTAATCTAACTTGCATGTGAATTGAAGAAAAATTTTAAAATTAATTTGAGTCATCTCTGCAGATCAGCGAAGGCCAACGGTGATCATAACTATTTAAGTTGCTGGATTGGGTTGTTTAAATTAAGAGTTCCGATTTTTGAGAGAAAAAAGAAATTATTGTGTCGGCGTTTGGGATTCGTTCTCTTAGCCTGTTCACGTATAAATAAGAGTGTGAGTTCCTGAAATGTTCTATAAAATAAATTTTAATAGGTGTATCGTTAAACTTGAACCATATTAAACACGGTTATTGTAATTTAAGTCGTTGGGTTAGGTTGTTTAACTTTAGGGTCTTCCTCTTCCGATTTCCAAAAATAAAAATTATTTTGTCTGCGTTTGGGGTTCGTTCTCTTGGCCTGCTCACGTCTCAATAAGAGTGTGAGTTTCTAAAATATGCTATAAAATAAATTTTAATAGGTGTATGGTTAATCGTAAACCTTATTAACACGGTTATTGTAATAGGGTGATAAAGTGGAAGCTATTGTGTGAGTTCATTCATACCCGGATAACAATATTTCATCCGATAAAATCGCATTCCAACATGTATAAACTATATTTACAGATATGATTCAACAGACGAAATATAAATACATCCATTACATGATTTGATCGAGATTATTAAATTAACACTGTATCAAGCCCGGTTTATTAGTAAATTACATATTAAAGTGTAGTTTATTTGTGGTCCTCACTTGATCGAAGAATGTAGAAAATCATTACAATCTAAAAAACAAATGAAATCAAATTCTGTCGCGTGGCGTTTGGTTCGCAAGGCAAATGGGTAAACTTACAATAGCCCCATTGTAATAAAAGGACGCCATTGTTTCTCCCACGATGATAGATATATCATAATGTCGCTGATGGCGGCATGCTCCCCTTATTCTATATCTTTGTGGCAAATCAATATGTTATTCTTGAAAAATTTTATGTAAGGGATTTGGTACCCGATTGGAAATTTTGTTTGTTATGATCACGTTCAACACTTTTTCTGTAGTAGTAGGAAACATTAAGTTTTTGATTTACTTTTATTTCAATTCTCCTCGTATATCTGCGCGTGATAGTTTGGAAAAACACGAAGAATTTTCTTATGTAATACTTACCGTATATGTTTCATATTAAAATTATATCATTCATATTATCTAAATTACTCATACCAAATCAGAACGGTGTTATGAAGAAAAATTTTGGTAATATGGCAATAAACAGTATAATTCTTATTTCAATTCAATGGCCAATAGGTAAATCTGTTGGGAAGGATTTATATTACCGATAATTAACAACCTTTTATACAAAAGGTGTGTTAGTGTGAGTGTGTGTTTTATAAGAATTTAATTACAATTATTTGCCTCATTTATTTGGATGAATACTATTTATTGGTTTTTAATTTTAAAATTTTTATATATTTATCCATATATATCATTTAATAAACCATCTTTTCATTTCAGGTTTTCCGGAATGAGTAACAACAGACCCACACGAGTGAATAGTGCGGAATTGAAAGTTCCTCATACTAGGATTGATGAGGAGAAGGTTTTGGAAGAAACATACAAGTAAATGACAATATTGATAACAAAAAATTAATTTCTATTTTCAATTATTATCCATTGGACTTTTTGCCCATTTTCCCAATGTTTCTGTATTTTCTCATTTGTCTTTTGGTTTTGATATTATAGTGTTGTGGACGTGGGGTAAATGTTATTCAAATTATATTTGTACTGTATAATATTTTTTGGGAGAATTTGTTTTTCATGTATGATGTAGCTGTTGTCTATAGGGTAGGGTTGACTTTGGTGCTAAAATGCTGTTGTAGTATTCATGTTGCCGGTTGACTCTTTTCTGATGAAACATTATAATTTATCTCTCTCTCTCTCTTTCAACCAATTCAAAAATTATGTATGAATGAACGCTACAAGGTACATGATATTTAAATACTGTATATCAATTAAAAACATTGTTGCAACACAGATGTCTTTTTGATGTAAATTTTTTCATTTATTCCCTTCTTAATTTATCACAATATTACATGTTTTTGTATATTATTAAATTAACAGTGTTAAAATAGTATATAAGAAGATTAGGTACAAATCAACTATTGGTATTTTGGTAATATTTTAATACCAACCATACTTCTCGGTAGAAAAGTTAGGCATTGGGAAAATAGACAGCAGAATATAAGGAATAAGGACATACAAAGAGAATCATTGATGGGCTTGCCTACTTGATATATTTTTCTATATCCAATGCATGGCAATTGAATAATTCTGGCAATTCTCTATATCATATTCAGAATTGTTTATTAAGTATTCTTGCTCTGTTTTTACTGTAAAATCAGATAGAAAAACATTTCTGATCACTTGACAATTCTGCTAATGTATTTTGCCACGTTTACACAAGTAATTCTTGAAACTTGAGTGTTTTATGGCCAACACTTCAAAATATATTTGAATTGGTTTATTTGAGACTTTATTGTGATAAATAAACAACTTTTGACACCTTATTATAAATGGGTTTATTGAAATTTCTATGACCTCTTATAAATATGATATCCTCTTATAACTGAAGTGAAAATATTTATCGTTTTATTTTAAATGCTTTTCAAGTAGGCCTACTGACCATGTTTCAATATATATCTCGGGTTTCCAACCCCATGCCCACTTCAGCTACAGTGTAATAAACCTTTTGAAAATAATATTCCCCAATGTATCAGTGGATGCTAAGTACAGAGATTGTTTTAAGTGAGGATGTAAACATGACTCATAAAAATACAGATATCCAAAATTTCCTTTTATATCCATGTTTAACAATATAGAATTCATGAAATACCCAAGCAAAATTTCAAAGTAAAAGCAGCAATAAAACATTTTAAAATGTAACTCCTTATTTAAAATTGAAAGAGGGTAATGTAACAAAAACACTATTTAATGTTTACAATCAAGGTTGCAAGTCAATTGAGTACATATCAATTTTAAAAGTAAACGGATATAAAAAAATCTGGTTATATAAAATTATATATAGTATACTAAAGCCAGATTGGGTTTCTTATGGAATTTATAATATATATCCTGGTTTTGAATTCTTGCCAATTACTTTATTGTCGCTAGATAAAACTTAACTTCCACAGCAAAAATACTTCTGAATTATTTTAAAAACAAAATTGACATACCTGCAACATGATATAATATTGACATACCATTTGCGTCTAATGTATTTTCATTACCTGGATATAAAAAGCACTAAATGGTGTTGCTGTTCTATATCTATACAACATATGTAAGTAAACATTAAAACATTAAGCATCATTTTCCTGTACCCCAAACGAGCTTGAAACATGGTTTAAGAATATCGAACAATATCTGAACCATGGATGGGATTTATTTATGGAAGAAATTTAACTTGTAATGTTTTGATACCATGGGAAAAATAGTTTTCATCGCCTTTTAAAAAACCCATCAATGCTTTTTTGTGATCAAAGAGAAACATAAAGGTCTTTCAATGACCCAACTTTTCTTTATGATAATAATGATATAAAGAAATGTTAATGTGGTAATGATAATATTATGATATACATGTTTCATAATGTTAAATAATTGGAAGCACTCGAGAGACTAGATAACTCCGATACAAACTTAACATGGTTTATTTCGGAATAATGTACGACCAATCTATATTTGGTAATAAATTACCAAATTTCCTCACTACAGATAGTGCCACATTACTATGGCTTGGAAGAAACAGTCTCAATGTTGGCCATGAAATATTATCAAAATCAGATTATGGGGATTCTAACTTAATTATGTGTTTGCAATTGATACATCTTTATAGTGCCCTATGGACACCACATAGACTTAATTCTGCCATAACACTGAAAAATCATGAAATTTGGAAATGTTACCAGAAAATGCCATGGTGATAGATCATCTCACCTTCAATTGTTAACACACTACAGATTTATAGTATTTCTTGGGAAAACAATTAAAATCCATCTCCGGTGTTCCCAAACTTCCCTTATTTTTCTTTTCAAATGTTATCAAAACAACATACCAACAAATCAAACTACATAGGAACACTTTTTGTCCTAAAAAAGGATTTTCTTAATCCTTGTGCTAATGATGACGAAAGAACTCTAAGAAAACACTATTTGTTTGTTTAGTGATATTGAATTGATAGTCATACTTCAGCCATTGAGGCTTCTGAGCCAAAGTTATGTTTTGGATAGAATCAGCTTGTTGCTAATAATAGAATTCTCTATGTACTTTATTTCATACGGAATTTGAAAGCATTTTGACTATAGCTAGATAGCCCAACCCTTTTCAGTATTGATAATGCATTATTGAAATTTATGTTTATTTAGACATGGCCCTATTAGAAATTATACTGTTCAGGTGATGTTTATCTCTGTCTCTTGCTTGTTTAGGCATGTTTGAATAAAAAATGTATCTCATCATGTCTAAAATCATGTTTGATGAGATTTATTGTTATGATCAGTCATCTAATGTAACCAATGGACACTTTTGTAATAGAGATGGAATGTGAGCTTCACTTGAACCTGCTCTACCGTGCTTTGAATCATTAGTTGTTTCTTTTCAAAAGCATTAATTCAACGGTTCCATAGTTGTTTGGATCAAGCAGCAAACAGGCACCCAGAAAAATAGTTTTTATTTCTTTAAACCAAAATAGCTTTGAATTTTTTAATAGTTTTATATCTGGAGCAGTGGTTCCCAACATTTCTTACTTCGTCTATTCATATTACCTCCTTCATCTATTTTAAATAGGCCTGAAGCTAGTGTTTCGCATAACCTGCACTCTGTCTTTTGCTGAGTTTGGATAGCTTATTTTCTCTGTTTATTTTTGTAAATTTATTTACAAATTTTTTCAATTTTCTCACCAGATTTGGCAGCAAGTTGGGTCAGGGAAGTTTTGGCATTGTTATTGAAGGACGACATAACGAGAGCCATGTTGGATGGGCTATCAAGATCGTTAATAAAGAAAAGGTAAATTTAAATACTATTTTATCATCAATTTAAATTTATGATATACATTGAAGCCATAACGGACCAGCCACATTTTTATGGCGAAGAGTCCAGCAATCGTCTTGCACATAATCATTCCTGACAGAAACTTGCAAACTCACGCGGGGTAGTCGGAGGTACAATGGGAGCGCTTAATGTGATGTGCAATTCATGGCTTTTGTCTATCCTCGTCAATTTATCATAATCGCATTCTACACATTATAATTTGTATCAGATTGAATTGGTCATTATTAGCTTAAGTATTTCATAATTACGACAGCCCGAAAGTTCAATACATTCGTCTATTTTTTGTTTGTTTCTTTTTGGCCCAAGCCTCGTTTAACAAGGTATGTGATATTTTATGAGTGTGTGGTGGTGAGTTGGCACATGTTATTTCTCATGTAAAGATTTCGCTCGCTCTCTGGAATTCTCCATTTTTAGTTCCTGTGTATTATGGTGGAGTTTTCAAATTACCTATCTACCTATCACCAAACGTCGACTACTATACATAATGTCATTTGGTCTCAATAGCATAACAAATTCAAAGTTAATCTTCAATAATCCTTCTTTTATACTGAAATTCCTTCCAAGGTATAGGGATATATAAGACAAACAAATCTTATTCAGGTTAAATGTTAATAAATCACCATGCACTAGTTATAATATAGACATATATATTGAACTATGGATTAACATAAATCCGTTAATGGCAATAATACATTACACTAAGCAATGAATATACGTTAGCTCAGTGTTTGCTTAAGAAATTTGTATATGGGTGATTCATAAATGTCAAATTTTACCTTATGCTCGGTTGAGGTGTCAAATTTAAAAATGGTTTTATTTTGCTGCTTTTGAAATCTATTAAATTCTTCATATATGTAGTTTCACTAGTTTCTATGTCTTATTACACCATATTTATCTTATTATTAATGGGGATTTGCTGAATTTTCTACCTTTGTTCTATGGTAACAATATATATGATTTTGTTTCCATTTCCAGGCTGGTGGTTCTGCTATAAAGTTACTTGAAAGAGAAGTTTCCATATTGAAAAGAGTGAAGCATGATAGTATTATACACCTGGAAGAAGTATTCGAAACACCGAAGGTAATTTTTCAATAAAATGGCACATTAGTATCTCTTTTTAGGTTTCTGTGCAGAATGAATGTGAATATTAGTCAGAATAGAAGCTGAGCTTGTGCTAAGATCGATTACAAAACAAAATTACTGCAATTCAGGTTCCAAAACTTTATGATTTCCCGATACATTTTTTTCTGTATTACAAAGCATCACTGGGAAAAATTTATTTTATAATGTTATATTATGGCAAGTAACTTTTTATGAATAAGGCATAATTATTCAATTTGATTCCTGAGCTTGTTATTTGTTTTTACTCCAAACGATCGGAAATTGGATCGATATCCCACGATGCACTCAAAATTATTTTGTCATGCACTTGTGCGTGTGGAACATAGATTGGAAAACATTGCCCTAAAATATTTTGTGATTTCGGTATTGTAGAGATGTATGTACCTAAGCTCAATGATTAAGCTCTGTGTCATTAAAGTTTAAGGCTACTTATTAAATTTTCTATTTTATTTCAATTGTCTGTTCACCTTCTCATTTAGAAAATGTACTTAGTCATGGAGCTGTGTGAACTTGGAGAACTGCGAAATCTTCTGAACAAGCGAGGACCATTCAATGAGATCTCCACAAGACACATTATCAAGAATCTTCTTGGTGCAATTGCCTATCTGCACAGAAGTGGTAAGTAATAGTTACTGCCAGAAGTAAGATGAGAATCTATACAGAAAATTGTACATTCATGTTCTACAAAATTTTTAGGATTTCACATTGCCAGAATTGCCTTTTTCTTTGGAAAATAGGCTCATTTGCATGAAAGTGCTTTTATTGGACACAAAGTGTGGATCAATTTCCAAAGTTGTGATTATGGCTGTCATTGTTGTTGGGGAAAATTGCTTTTCTCTGCAATTATTTTACCAATCAATTTCAAATTTCCAATACTATTTAAAGATGGATAAGACCGCTACAAAGTCGTTACTATAATTCTTTCAAATCTCCAATGATTCGTATTGGTTCGGTAAATCACCCAAAATTTTGCTGTTCTATTTCAATTCTTGGGAACACTTACTCCCGCCACCCCCGGTGCTCAGTTATTGGTTTGCAAAACCTTCGTGTCCATATATTTAGACATTGCTTTTTTGTATCTTAATTCCATTTACTTACAACCCTTATTTAATAAGAAAAGGACTTCATTGAATTCTAATCAAAATGCTGCTCTAGTTGAGTGAAACGTTTTGAGTGCTACACAAGTTTTATCTCTTCTATTGTTATGTTGCCATTTGAAGTTTTATATTTTCTTGAAAAAAGGTGAATCCATGGATACAATAAATGTTTTAAACCACAAGTAGCGATGAAACTTTTCTTATAACATCTGTGCAAACTTTGACTAAAGTTTTTGAAAGCTCAAATATTTTCAAAGCCACTTGAATTAGAACTCAGACGCAAACAAAACTCTTTCAAATCCTTGACATTTTATCAATCCAGCATCTTATCTCATATTACATGAAATCTATATTGGAGTATCATACCGCTGTGTTTTATAAATGTCATGCTTTTGATCTTACATATACATACACGTGTACTTGAATTGTTATAAGTACCTATTATAGACCTAAGTTGTCAGAATGATGTATTGCTATACTGAGATTTATTAATGTTCTTTATTGTAGATAGTACTATTTTTAGTTCTAAAAAATGTCTCAATCTAATCAAGCAGCCTCTTGAGACTTGTTAGAACAAAAGCATTTGTTTGAAGTTTTGATAGAACTTTTTCAAGGAATGCAGTTGGATCTCAATATTTACTCTATCTAATTACCAGGGCTAGGCATTTCAAATCGAATAGTAAATTAAATTGTTGATTATTCCCATTATTTTTAAACTGAACCACACACTAATGTCCATAGTATAGGAATAAGTAATAGTTTAATCAAGATGTATTGACATAGATAGTATGTTTAACACATAGTATCATATGATTTCGTTATCAAACAATATATTGAATTTATAGTTAACCTGAATATTAAAATCGATGTTTTTATTTCAGATATTGTTCATCGTGACTTGAAGCTTGAAAATATTCTAGTTGTCAAGGAATCTGGAACAAAGGAAACTCCTCTGTTTGATATCAAGGTACGACTAAAAACCAGGACTATTCAGAACATAGATGGAGTCGCGCATTGTGCTGAGTGTTAGGAATACGCTCGCTATCGCACCTCTAGGTTTGGAGGTTCGAATCTGTGGTTAACCATATGAATAGGTCGTCTTATTGGCTAGAGTCACCACGTCCATGCTTCCGAAAACAAATAACTAACTAATCCCATACCCGACATGGAATGGTTACCGGACGAGAGGCCGTGGTTCGCCATATGATTGAGCCGTCTTATTGGCTTTCCTCTCCTCCGGGATAAATATGTAAATCCTATCCTATCATCCTATCCTATCTGCACAGCATCCTTGCAGTATGTACATTCATCAGAGTAAAAGTATAGAATAAAGATAAATAGTCAGTCGCGAAGAAACCCAACGGTAGCACAATTATTATTCTTTGGAATAAAAGCGCTTCTATGTGTCATCTGTTAATGTCTCACATATTGAGCATATCTAATATTTTTACACCATCACCCCAAAAAAAGTTCTAGCTTTTAAAGCAATAGAAGCTACTTATATGTGGATACTCCAAAAAGAACCGAATTTATATAGTTTTGCATTATGTACTTCACCAATTTATCACACCTTAGGTGAGGTGGTTGTATATTATTATTTTAATCCTATACTGAGAAGACGTCCAAACAAACTCTGAAGTGCTAACTCTTTTGTTATCAATACATACCTTTTCACCTATTAAATGAACCAACGTTAAAAACAAACAAATAGCCATGAGTTGAAAGCATGTAGTGTTAATAAAAATCAGTAAATTTACTGGGTATTTTGATATCATTATGCGTAATATTATTATTAGGCGGATTATGTTTCATCAGTAATTTTTATTACCATGGAATACACATGTCATTTTCTGAATTTTTTGTTTAGTACTCATTTCACCGCCGGCTGATTAAGTTAGTTATTGTGTAACACAGACTATGTTTGAATGGCAATTTAATATCTAGTTTGTGTTTTTTTAATATTATTAACTTTAAAAAGACGAGGTAGAGTCACACGATGCCACTTCTGTTTATTCGCCAGATCCTTTTTCATAACAATCAGACGAATACACAATCATTTGAGTTTTTTTCATTATTCCTAATTATAGTCACCAATCGGATAAGATTTCCCCCGCCTCGCAATATGATACACTGTGAATCATAGTTTATTTTATTTATTTAGTAATTAATTTTTGAATTAAAACAATTGTTCTTTAATTTGTTGTTTTTCCAGGTGACTGATTTTGGACTTTCTGTCGTCAAAGGTGGAGTTGGGCCTGACGCAATGCTACAGTCATTTTGTGGAACTCCTGTCTATATGGGTGAGTTCAATGGTTTAACTATAGGAAAACTAAAATCCATCTCCAGATTACTTTAATAAACATTTGTGCATACATAAAATAACTGTAAATCATTTAGAATTACATATCTTCCTTTATCAATCATACTTAATGGAAACCCAATATTTGTTAACATATACATATATTAAAGTATGAACCGACCAAATACCATGCCTTATATAACCAAAGCTGTAAATTATATTTTCTTGTCATTTAGCATTTATTCAAGAAATTATGTATGATTTATGTATTTCATAAATTATTCAATATGTGTTTATAAATGTATTTAAACTGTTTATACAATCTATGAAATTATTTGTACACTCAAAAAAAACAATGTCCCAATTGAATTAAATACTCGAATCAGAATTGCCGACAGAAATATTCAAGTCCATGCATCTGAAACAAATAACTAGCTAACTGATCCCATGTCGGGTGGGTAACCACTAACCACCATGGGTAAGCGAGCTTGTGGTTCGCCATAAGATTAAACCAAATTATCGGCTTTTCTCACTCAGGAATAAATATGTAAATTCAATCCTATTCCAAATTTTAAAATCCTGATTCTAGGAATAATTTAGAATAGTTCTATGATCACTTTAGAAACTGATTTCTCACAGTGCGACCTGAATTATAAAAATTGAAAAAAAAAAATCATATCATTGGTTATCTCAACTTTCTTGCAATTCCAAATTCAAAATTATTGAATATGCATTTACTCCCATAACGTTTTGTTCAACATTTCCCAATTTAGAGTATATTCAATATTCCTATATTCAAAAATTCATTTTAGAATGTATTCCGAACAATTATTCAGTTTAGGCCTTTCTCTGAGCAATCAGAGCTAATATGCTCTAATAGTAAATATCTTATCTTTGAAATTGACATAAGCTACTCTTGTGCCTCTGATTCAGCAATTTTTTGACTGATAAAGTATAACAACATAATCTATATTCTAGATAGGATTTATTTGAACTGCTTTTATTTTGATGTAATGAAAAATATTTGATTTTCAAGATAACGGTTGATTCCGGTAATTATTAATGAAGCGTTCAGTAGCTAATAATGAAATTTAAACACTTGATCATTGTTATCTGTTTGTATTATGATATAAAAGCAAGATCAAACACAAATTGGATGAGAAGAATCTACCATATTGAACTCACAATGCCCTCGTCCTTGAGTACAGTTGTGCAAATATATGAGTAGTTACTGTTTGGATATAATTTGCAGACTCAAGTATGAGAATATTTTAATAAATGGTGATGGCCTTGTGGTTAAAGCTTTAGACTAAACTGTGTTTGCATTACAGATTGAAAATTCCAGGTTCAAATCCCATGTCTTCCACTTTAACCAGGGTGTAATAAATTGGGTAGACTCAATTGGGTAAACAAAAAAGATTTCAGACTATGTGAATAAATATCAGATATCAGTGAGACTACGTTCGCAGCGAAGGGTGTGAATAAAAAATAAATAAATATGAATGATTACCTGTGTTTTTCAGCTCCTGAAGTCATACAGAATCATGAATATTCACAACAGTGTGATATGTGGAGCATTGGTGTGATACAATACTGCCTATTATCTAAAGATTTTCCATGGATATCTGACAAAGAAGATAAGTTATATGAAATGATTAAACGTGCCGAACTCGACTTCTCAAAACCAGTTTGGAATGATATATCAGAAAATGGTGAGTTGTGAGTGATATACCAGTGTATATAAAAGGTGGCTAAGATCAAATTGCCAATTTAATATGAAGGATCAGAGTTTTTCTATTTATTTCGGGGGAGAAGAAAGAACACAAGACTACATATTCATATGGGGAACCATGACTTTTTTCCAGTTAGGGGGATAGCCAGGGGGTTTGGAATGTTGGACTTTGAACGAGGCCCCATGCAATAAGCCACTGATAATCTCACACTCCGTAAGGAGTTACTTTTATTTGAAAGGCCCGAAATATTTCCGCTTCTGTATTTCTCTAATTTGTTACAACCTGGGCAGAGGTGGGAGTTGGAGATTTAAATCCGAGATATATAATCTACAATGCCAACTAAGTGTAATTTATATTGATTTCAGCTAAAGCGCTTCTTCGAAAGTTGCTGCATGTTGATCCAGCTCATCGTTTGACTGCGTCAGAAGTTCTTGACAGCAATCCATGGATACGTGGAGAAGATGATGCATCCACAGAAGAACGAATTAACGTTCTAGAAATGATGAAAGAATTTGCAAGAGAAGAAAAAAACAGTGAATCAGATGATGTTGAGGTAGCCAAAACAATTTCAATCTATTTTAGGGGTGTGTATATACAAAGTCACCTAAAAAACCGAACCCAGGTCATTTGGAACATATTCTAGAGCAGGGCTGTGCAACAGGCGGCCCGCGGGCCACAAACTGGGCGCCAAGTCATTCAGTTGTGGCCCTCGTCAACACGCAGACTTTCCCTATCCAGCATAAAATCCTAATCCGAGAGAACATACATAACTTTTACTTTTGTGGAAAGCGTCTTGAATACTGAGACTTTTGGGTATAATCATACAAAAACAGAAGTACAAGTGTTAAATAAAATAGTAATTACGGTAAGTAATTTACGAGCTCTGTTTTCTTTGGTCACTTTTTATATATATTTGAGATGTATTTAACTTTCAAGATTTTATGATAGTGTCATTCTAATATGCAATTGTGAAATTGGCAGGGTTGTTGATTGTTGTTAAAAATCACTTTTGAATTATCATTACTTTATATAACATATGGAAACCTTTTTTTTTTTTTTTTTCAAGCATTATTCTCTTGTATTCTAGGAGCGATCCGATTCCAGTGGTTGCCACTCATCTGCCAGTTCAGACTTGGGAGTGCACGGTTTGCCAGCTCCGAAAAAATCATCAAAATCAGCATCTGCCACGTCCCACTCATCACCCGTATTTAATATCAATCACCATCACCCACCGATCCCAAGAAATACAGACAGAAGGGCGAGTATGCCTGCAGTGACGGCAAAGGTAAGCTATATCTTTTGGGGGCTCCCGAAGTATGCGAACCAAGATGGCAGACATCGGAATGTAATATGTGTACTAGGTTAGGGTTAGGCCATAATTTTAGGTATAAATACTACGGGAGGCTCTTGGCTAGTCTTCGAACTGATAATATGACTAAAATAAGGAAAATTGGAAAAAAAATTATCGCCTAACCCTAACCTGTTACCCATGTTACGTTCCGATGTCCGCCATCTTGGTTCGCATACTTCGGGAGCACCATCTTCTGTTTATGACGCTCATTCAGGTAGAGTTCAATTCCTATCTGCTACGATCTGTAAATTTTGTTCTTAAATCTGTGGTAACGTATGAAATATCAATAACAGGAAAATAATGGTAACAATGAAATGAATGCATGTATAACGATGTAAGAATTATTCAATTCACACTTCATTTAATTTAAAGTGATTCAACAATGGCGAATGGGACCTAGTGAAGTCTTTGCGCATGTCCCCCATAGAGGCTGAATGCCCACTTTCGTGAACCCCGATTTATGTTTATACTGCTAATGTAAACAATTTTATAATCCAGATATCTCCACACAAAAAACCTGCACCTTCATCAGCGAGAAAAGCAACCTCACATAGAGGTTCGTTGACGTCATCACCAGTTACTGCACCAAGCACATCAAGAAATCACAAAGCACCTAAATCCCCCCTAGCACGCTCTGGTGGAAGTCCAATAGGCACAGCAAACTGTAACAACCATACTGGCCGCGGTGGGTTAACTGCCGCTGCAACTGAACATGTTATATATAATAATAACCATCATCACCACAATAACGGTATGCCTTCAGCAAGAGGGACAAAATCAGACACTTCAAGACTGGTGCCGAGGTCCCACACCCCTAATACCGATAGACTGCGTGTTGGAGCAGTAAGCCCCCATCGAAGTCGGCCACCAAATTCACCATCTCTACATCACAGGGCAAATGACGCTCACACTCATCGAGGCAACGCCACATCTGCCAAAGGTAAAGGGAAGAAGCCCCATCCACACTGATTACATGCGGTATTTTAAATGATCGCCTGTTCTGTTTGCCTATCTATACGGCAACATTGGTGCTGTGTATCAGTGCCAAGCAATACTCACTGTGATAGCTCGGAATTTCATGCGTTGAACAAAGCGAGCATTTTGTTAGTAGCCCTTGAACAAAGACTGTGTTTCGAAAACTTTACCTATTTCTGAGGTATTTATTAAATTATATATTTTCTTACTTATGTACTTTTAGATGCTGTTAGGAACAAATAGCAGTGCTCTTCAAACTGTTACATGTATATTCTTGTTTTTGAACAATCGACAAGTTATTGTTTTTTGTGATGAAGCTGAAAATCTGGTATTCCTGTAGTGTGTGTATCAGGTTTGGGTTAGGCCATAATTTTATCCTGATTTTAGCTCTATTACGAATGTGGTGACTGTCTGTGTTAGTCAAGTGAATCTACCCCCTGCCCATAGTAAACAGTTCCTTCACACAACTTGATGTAAAGTAGGCGAACAAAATTAGTTACCTCCATATTGGTACACACACTCCTGGAGTGCCGAGAATCTGACCGAAAAAAAAATTTTGTACCGAAGAACACTGTTGTAGGCCAATTTTGTTCCAAGCAACATTTTATGATTATAAGTTCCATATTTACGTACTATTTTACTTTTATGTTTGTTTCAAATACTTTAAAAAATGTTTTTTTTTCTCTATTCAGACACATTGAACTGACTTAAAAATTTAATGCTCTTTCTTTATTTTCGAGTCCGAAATGTTTTTGTCTCAGTTTTACCACCTCTGAAACATGTCCCATGCTTGATGAGAACATTTTCTGACTTGGGTTACATATGAAGTCCCATTGTAACTGAAGCATGTTACCTAACAGTCATTAGCTTGCTAATTTCTGAAGTTCTATATTTGTAATTATTTGCCAAAATAGTTTAAAAGTTCCATGTTATTACTGTCAAAAATAAAATTCTATTTTAGAATAATTTTGTCATCTTGTGCTTATTATTAGGGATGCTTTTTTGTTTGATTTGTTGGTTTAGGTCTGGATTCTTCGAAAATATACTTTTATACAGATAACAACTGGAATTAAGCATGTAAAAAAATTATTACTGAAAAATAAATGCATTTAGACTAATACTGATTATTATTATGGACTCCGTTCTATATTTTTGAATATGTTAGATTGCCTTTGCTGTGGTACACCAAGTTTGCTACATGAAGCCGTATATTGTATTTGGCAACATTTTTAATGTTTTAGGTCACAATGTTAGTGTGTGTTGTCACTTTGGTATCAAATTTCAAATAAATTTATTTGAACAATTTCTTCTATGTGTTATGTGAACTAGTCGTGTGAGGTCTCAATCTTACTTAAGGTATGTTACCACAATTTGTATGATTCCTAACGTTTTCTGGTACATTTCTCTCTGTGAAATGTAAACTCTCCTACCATCACCCTCTTTATATGCTTAAAATCTGTTCTTTGTTCAACCTTAATGGAACATTAACTCGTGATACGGCACTCTATAGTGTTATAATGTGTGCCTTGACCCTTGAGTATGTATAAGAAAAGTGCTTGATAACTAAAGAATATTGGTAATACTATACGGTCAAGCTGCATACATGTACGCCCTATTCAAATTGTTGGAATAGTACAGTAGTTTTAAACTTTTAGCTCCTACCTATAAAGTATTACCAAGTTTGATAACAAACAGCAAGAGCTTCCAGCAATTGAATTGTATCAAATATTTAAAATGACTATTGGAGAGAGTACCAGTGTTTTCCGCGGCGTATACCATCGCCCATCATGCACCTAACTAATTTTCCTGAATTATAGATCCGTAATATAAGTTAATATCGATTCGGCTATCAATCACCAAATTTATGGGAAAAAATATCTAAAGGAAAATTACCTTTGTATAAAGCTCTGCCTTCCTGTTTTTATTTTCACTTCAATCAAACACTCGCATATCAAATAGAAAAAAAAATCTCTTAGTATTGAATTTCCTTTTAAAGTTCGAACAAGACAGCAGTATAAACTATGATTTCAAAGAAACTTTAAATAACATCGGTTAAGGTGCCGCAACAATTATCTGCAAGCTATGACAGAATGGGGAATGGAGGATCAATATGACAGATCACATTTTACAACACACAAAAAACTTGAATACAGCAAAGTTCAACAAGTAGTACTATCAGAATTCAATATTGATTACCGGTAATCAAAACTAAAAATGAGAACTATGTAAATTTCGTGAAATATGTCTTATTCCGGCATTCAAAATTATATCTACAAAGTCTAAGTAACCGTCATGCCATTATATTTCCCTAAAGTCTAAAAACACAATCAAGAGATGTTATTCGTATTTTGTTTGTTAGAGTGCAGTTTGATGCCAAAAATTGTTTCTGTATTATAAAAAATATGGTAGTTTTTATGTCCATTAAAGCTCTTTTATTTTAGTGTGTACATAAAGATTCTATAAATTGGAAGCACCAAGTTATATTATAGTTTGGTATAAATTGAAAGTTTTTCATCCCATCTCACAGGTTTTCTTGTATTGCACATTACAGCGATATACATGCGCAGATCTGACATTTCTACTTTCAAACCATATTCGTCACATTTTTCTCAAAATATTTTCATAATATGCTAAGATACTTTCATGCCAAGTCTATGATCGTGATGCTGTTTAGATTTCTTGGCCAGTCTTTGCTTTTTTTGTTCTTCTGATTTACGTATCCTTTCCTGTTTCCGAAGTTCACGAGCTTCTTTGGCAATCTGGTAACACAATAATAGGGTAACAAAAATAGCGGCTAAAAATATCAGGTATAAAATTTTGGGTATCTGTTAGCTAGTTAATAAAGGTAGCTGCTAATCTAAAAACAATAGGTTGAATATATTGCATTATGGCGGTAATATTCAAACTACAATTTGAATAGTTGAAAAAGCAAGGAGGTGATGCTTGAATATATGGACACGAAGTCCAAAACAAACCACAAACTTTACGACTAACGCAAAGATAAACGTCACACGCAATTTTTGACAACGTAATCGCACACAAAATAGATCTTGTAGGGCCCACAGAAATTTTTGAAATAAATATAAAAGTAATTAATAGCCTTCTAGAGAAAAATACATTCTTCAACCACATTTTTTTAAAGGAAAAGAATACTAGCAACATGATGATCAACAACAACCCAATAACATTTAAGGTGATAATTACATACTATCGAAATTTCAGCTTTTTGAAATATGGGTGTATTGGTATCGATGACAAAAGTGGTATTGATACATTTCTAGTTTATACCAAAGTCAAAAGAAATCAGTCAAGCACAGCAACATTCCAACAACTGCACACGATTTCGCCTTAGTATCCAGTGAGACATCAACATAGCAGAGATCTCCGGTTGATGCACTGTGAGATTTTGAGCCCGGCGCTGAGTAGCCAACAACCTTTTCATTGTAATGTTAATTCATATCATTAGAGACTTTGATCAACTGCAGGGGGATTAATAGGAGATCAATCAACGAGAAAAATTGGGTCTTCTTCTGAACCAGATACTTCTCAAAATGGAGATGGAACAAGTACCGATAATGTAAACGTGAAACAAGTACATACGAACATAACGACACCTCAAAACCAAACAGTGCTAAGTCCACTTTTCCAAAAAATGACATTTTTCAATTGCTGATTTTCCTGGACTTAGCTCTACATTTTGGTCTATTTGCCTTATCTCTAGGTGCTCTAGATCTCAAGACAGCTATGGACATAACCCTGCTTTTTTTAGGGCATTTGAGAACTAAACAGAGCTGTGTCTACTATAGTGGACTTAGCTCTGGATAACTGCATTGTAAGTTGGGGCTAAGTCCGTTTTTTGGACATAGCTCCTCTCAAAAAATATAATACAAAGTGCTAAGTCCATACCAGCCTCTATAATAACATAATAAAGGGCCCTAAGTCCAATAAAATTGTTCCTGGTCCAGAAAATTGAGAGCCAAAAAGGGTTAAGTCCAAAAAAAAAACCCCAAAAAAAAAATTGGGGCGGAGGACAAATTTTTTTTATACCATCTAAATATGGCCTTCATTGTAACTTTGGTGGACCATAAAAACTAGACATCCTCGATATAAGGTATTAGAGAAATAAAAAAAAGAAACAAAAAAAAAACGTTTTTTGCGTTTTTCTCAAAACTAGAAAAATGGACTTAGCCCAATTTGGATTTCATGCGTCGATAAGGGGACAATCACAAGAAAAAAAAGTTCGGATTTGCCAGGCAATACCATAAAGAATACATGAAACTTCCTTCCAGTAGTAAACAATCGCCACGACCTGTATGATTAGTTTGTAACCAAGTTCTCTCCAATGAAGCTATAAAACCTTCCCAACTTGCTCGACACTTTCACTCAAAGCACAGCAACCTTAAAGGCAAACTACTTGGGAGTTCATTTCATACCGACTACTCTTCAATAAAATGTTAAAAACAATCATTGTAAATATAGGCTTATGACCTCATTTGATGTCAATATGAGGAAACAATCAATCTGGGTACAAGATATATAAAGAAGCAAATGAAAAAGATGACAATTTCAGAAAAATCTCTTCTTGGTGCATCCTCCCTAATTTATCTTCAAATATATACAAAGAGAAAACCATGAATAATTGGGGAAGAGTTAGTAAAGCTGAGCGTTTTATGAGCAGATCAAGAGACAATGCGTTATGAAGCAGTTTGAAAATTGGAAGACATATCACTCTCGAACAACACAGTTCAGCAAAGAATTAAAGATACAATAATAGATATTGAGCAACAGGTTATTGTAGAGGTACAGAAGTTGTCTTCTGTTTTGATTCAACTCGACGAATCCACAGACATAAATAATTGTCCCATTCTCCTTTGTTTAGTGATATTTGAGGAAAAAATTGATTTCAAGTAAGAACTCCCTCATTACATTCTTTACCAGGATTTACCAACGGGCAGATATTCGAACTTCTTGCTGGATACCTAATTGAAAAAGGTATACCTTGGGAAAAATGCATCTAAGTATGTACCGATAGAGCTGCTAGCATGACTGGCCGTCGTTTTGGTGTGATACAAAAATAAAATAAGTTTCACATGGAGAAATGCTGTTTACTCATTGCATCATTCATCGAAAGCATTCGGCTTCAAAGATACTCTCTACAACAAGTAAAAATTGATAATGTAATAAGAACTCGGCCCTTTGATCGCCAGACACAGAAGTTAGATGGCTATCAAGAGGGCGAGTACTCGCCCGTCTTTTTGAACTCAAGTGACGCTGCTGTAGGGGATAGGATGTTCGAAGCCTAGAGACGAAACAAAACTATTATTGACTGAAATGAACTCTCAATTGGTAGAATTTATGATGAATAAAACATGTTTGTGTAAGCTTGCGCACTTAGCAAATATATTCAGTCGTTTGAATGAGCTCAATACATCCCTGCGAGGCTTTTGTACAGATACAGATATCTTTGTACAGATACAGATATCTTTGTACGGTACCAAGACAGATGTATTAAAAAGAAGCTAGCTCTATGGAATAGTTTTGTGCTCACAGAAATACAGCCATATTCCCAACTTTAAACGAGTATGTGTAAAATGTTCAAGTTAACAATAACAATGGAGAATTGTTAAGCATTGTTACTCAACACAATAAAGCATTGGCGAACAACTTTGATCCTTATTTTACACAAAACCTTGACAAGAAAATCTTTGGATCAACAATCCATTCAACGAGGATGTGAAGGCGTTTGACCTTAAACCTGATGAAAACAAAAGCCTGATTGAACTACCGGTATGTTGTGATTCTATTTTACAGTCCAGATTTAAAAAACCACCATCTCAATTCTGGATAACTCTGGATAACGAATATCACTTGTTAAGTAATCAAGCACTCAAATTGTTGCCCGTATCTTCAACCAATTACCTACTTATGCAAAAAAACATTTTCATCACTAGTTTTAAATAATCGGCAGGACATCGCTGCAGAGCTTAGTTTTACGGAAACTTCTCTGATGATTTGTTTGCCTCTCATATTGGCAACGAAACAATAGCAAAATTCTCATTAACGCTAATTGTTTTTGTACATGATTTGACAGATTTTTATGCAAAATATTTTTAGTGTGCTTTTTTACCTAGAAGCTCAGTGAGTGCACAGCATTGCATTACATTGCCCATATATATTTTATTATTTTCCGCTCCACTCATTTCAATTTTTTGCCGGTCTGCGAGTACATTTTATACAATTTCACCAGTCCGCCAGTATAAAAAGGTTGGAAACCACTGGTATAGGATACTATAGGCCTATAATAGATAACTGACTAGCTATATATGAAAAAAATTCAATGGTAGCGTAAGTAGATACCACAATTTTTCTACATTCAGAATATAATGTAAAAATGACTTATTTACTTTATCAGTATCAATATCATCCATTTCCACATCATCATCTGCCCATCCTTCACCACTTTCTTCTACTTCATCTTGCCATGCATCCAATTCACTCTGAAATATTCAAAAAATTTGATGATTAAAAATCAAGTAATTCGGAGAATTTTTTATAATTTTGTTGTGTATCTAAATAAGAATAGATATAGAATTTCAGAACCATCAGATATAGAATTAATAGAGAGGAAAACTTATAAGATAGCTTAATAATACAGTTAACCGCCCACCGCTTCTCATTTGGTTACCACAGTGGTGGTTCTTTTACCTACCTTACTTTTTACTAACCTCATACCACTTTACTGTTTTTTACCCAGGCCTTGGCGTGTACCACTGACAAATCACCTTTTTGGGGTGGGGGACAATGGCACAAGAAATACGCTATTGGAATGGGAGTATTTCATAATGAGGTTTGACATCCTTTGTGATGTAACACGCAAAACGGACTAGGGTGATCTCTGAAAAAAGAGCTGGTAGCGATATAAAGGCCGTTCAGCGAATACATACAGTATGGAAGATAAAGAGGAAGTATTGCTGGCATATTCAAGTCAACTCAAAAGTCAATTGTTGCAATAATTCAATGCTGCTCCCGTACCACTAGTGAGTACCACAGGTTTCACGGTACCACAGGTTAAGAACCACTGGGTATCTTACCAGTACCAGTTTGCTTTGATTATAGACACTCAATTTCTCAGCACAAATGGTTGGACTTTCAACAGTGAAAGTTGTAACCCAACGGCAATGAACGAGCATATATTGACAACAGGTCAAGCAAAAATCTTAAAAGGTTTGAACATGCAAACCCATGCATATAGCCCAAGTGTATAGCAAGCATATTTATAGTGCTTAGAAGATAAGCAGCATATGAAACTAGGCAATTTCAATGAGTGAAATCAATGTTGAAATGGTGGGTTGTTCTCATACCAATGGATAGAAGATAATACATGAATTTTACTTCTGTATATATTAAGTAATAAACCAAGTCCAAATTTAAATTTAACATTTTACAAAGCTACATATTTCTTTGCATGGTGTACTAATATTCACTCAATTACTAAGAGCCGCCTAATCAAAGGTAAAGTAACATTGAATTGTGATCTCAACAGAATTCATTTCAATTGTCTCCTTGCTTCTTGCCTTTCTCCATGGGGTCTCTATCTGACCTTCAATTTGATATTCGCTTTTCATCTGAAATGCTATTTGCCCAATCCCACTCTGTTTGCCTCTTAATAAATCTTCGTAATATTATATTATATTTATAAAAATTTTATCAACTGATTTGTTGTTTTCCAAAGATAGTGTATCGAACCAGAAAAGGTTTTTTGCTCTGAATATTTTATTCTATCAACAAAACAATTAAGATTCAATAATCCAACTAAAAATGAAATGTCAACAAGCATAAAATAAAAACTTACTGTCGTTTTAAAATCAAGATCTTCATTTATAGCAAGTCTGTTACTTCTTTCTTGTATTTTCTGTTTTTTTTTTAAAACAATCTAAAAAAAATAATTTTCTAATGAATGCGCTCATTCCAAAATACAACCGCCGATTTATTAAAAAGCACTATACCAGGAATTAGTGTACTTGTTTAATTGATTTGTAAAAAAAAAATGGCACACAAAAGTCTGAAAAACACAGGGTAACCCAGATGTTCAGATTGAAATGACACAAAAATATATCACTAAATACTTTTCCCAAGTTTTCAGATATGCCTGAAGTAACGATCCATTGTGAAAACTGAATAAAGTGCATTTTTAGGCTTTCTCGTTGAACAAATACTAAACCAACCTTTTTCACTTTTACAGATGGTTCCATATCAGCAAAGAAATTTATCTCCTCTTCCTCTTCTGGATCTGAAAAACAAATAAATAATCCATGTTTTATTCATGAGCTATAACTTAGTCAAATGAAATGGAAAGTAAAATGTAAACAAAATTTTGCTTCTTTGAAAAAGTCATAATAGAAAATGGTACAATCGCCATTACTTTTCAGCCAGAAGCAGATAATATGAGCGCAGGCACAGAAAGCGAGAGTAGTTGAATTGTGTATTTTTGAGGAAATCTTGACTTTGGTCGAATGAAATGTTACAGAAAAAGTGTGCAGCAAGATTCTTGAATCACTGAGGAAGATAGTGACAAGTGAAAATCCAATGAATGAACTCATTTGCAATCAATTCGGTTTTCTGCAGGATCAACTAATTGACCTTCTCTGATTTTGTACTGGTGGATTCTTATGCGTATAATGCATGGATTCTATAGCAAGAGTCAATACGGTGATTCAAGAGTCTCGCTGTACAGGAAAAAAATAACTTTGCATATTAGTGAATTAGCACTCTATAAACCATTACTGCATTACAGTAAGAAACTATAAACTAGGCATGTTCCAAAAGAAGTGAGCATTACCTTGTTGTTGATTCTGAATATTTTGTGCTTCTGCTTGCTGAGAAGAAGAATCTTCATAATCCCACTGATCCCAAGATTGCATTTGTATCTCAGCTTCACTAGATTCCTGATATTGTTCAGGCGATGTTATTTGACTTTGGTATGGATGCCTACTTTGTTGAGATTTATCGTAATAGGAAGGAGCTGGAACTTCATACCCATTCATCATAGTACCGGTACTGTTCATGTTATAGCTTGGGTAACTATCCTGGGCATCTCCAATAACAACATCAGTCATACCGATATTGTCATCTGTACTTTCTGCAGCTTTCTTTCTTCTCCCACATCTGCAAAATAATGAGCAATATAGTATTAACTTGAAACAGAAAATATCAGAATTTTCATGTCATGATTTATATGAATGTCCTGTTCAATACAAAAATAATTGCTAAGACAACAATTGATTAGGATGCAATAATTTGGATGGCATACGAAGTTGTAAACGCCACAGGCCGCATTGCTTACCCTGAAACTGCAACAAAACCAATAAACATCTCAAATATATTTACCTTCCTAACAAGAAGCAAACGACTAATTTGAGCAAATATGAACTTTAAATTTTGTTTTGCCTTTCAAGTTCAAATCTTAAAACTGATGCATTGAAAAAATATAGAAAATTCAATCTAGAATCTAGATAAATTTGAGAAAGTGGGATTTTTCAAAGCCGGGATTCGAATAGGGCTTTTCAACTATACAGAATTGGGAGACATCATTTTAGCACACCACTCAATTGCACAGCACAGACTGGCAGACAGAGCTCTGAATGGAATCGAGGTATAACTTTACATCATAGATTCCTAATTTCATACCTTAATATCCAAAAGATGACACGAAATATCCCTAGAATAATGTGTTTGAAGAAGGTTAAAATACGGACAATCATCTTATTGCTAGCGAACGGCCAAACAACCAGCAGCCACGGAAAACAGCAAGATCCAAACGAACTTTCCCGATCACCAACACGCGATGCAAAGAGCGAACAGCAGTCCCACGATTAACATAGCTTACGTCACAACTAGGAAAAGTAATGCATCAGACTTGGCCGTACATAACAAGATGAGTAAGTCATTCGCACGATTTCATTCCTATGGCGAAGTTTGAATTCCTAAATTCCCAAAGTCCTAATTACTTAAAACAAGAAATTATGTAAAAATTACTGAATAATTAGTAATAATGAATACAATAATCGACCATGCTCGGCGCTGGTGAACATTTGGGTATGACGATCAGCTGTTCGACGCCAGACAATAAACAGATAAAATAAACGGTAGATGAACGTTTGCTGTGTGGCTGTGTGCTAGTGCTTGCAGACTGAGACTGAGGAGCGGAATTGATGCAGATTGCCTCTACAGGTCTAGGAAGTATGGCATCATCTGATTTATGCCCTGATTGCAAAGAAGGAAAGCTGGTGGAGGAATCCATGGGTGCTGAAGAGACGAAGGTGATTTTTTATTGACTAGCAATTCTTCAATTTCATGACTTTTTTAGTATTTGATCTTTAATTGTTCACCATTCAGTCATTGCTGCAATATGTATGTTGTGTGATATCCAGTACACAGTTTGATATATACTGAAATATGCTATTATAGTATTATTCCCCATGTTCACTATATTTATGCCTTGTAAATGATATCCATCGAATCTTTATTACATTATTTTGAATTTGTTTCTATGGATGACACCCTGAATATATGTAAAACTCTCTCGCTCTATCTGTGAATGAGTGTCACGTTAAGAATGTTTCTACCAAATATGCAGATGTTGAATTATTTCGATTTTTTCAGACGTGTACCAATTGTGGTTACTCAACTCAAAGCACAAATATTGTAATGCCCACATCTGCATTTCAAGAAGGATTTGCTTTATCGATGGAATGCAGTTTGGAACAAAAATATAATTGCAAAGTTGATTCATCATACAAGTAATTTGTTATTTGATTTAATATACTCTGTATATCATTTCATGCTTAGACGTCTTTAAATGGTTAATATCTTGAGAGTAATTTGTAGAATCTTGAATTATTTTTTATGTTGACTTTTTATATCACACTTTATACATCATGCCTTTTGTGTGCTCTGAAAAAAGCAATATGCATGCTGTTACATATGGTGCTTCCACCGCTAGGTCGTTACCAAACTGATTTTTGGTGTATTTAGGCTAAATCTGAACAGTTTTCTATATACAACTTAAGATGTGGCCTCAATTTCTAAAATAATGCATTAGTTTGACCACATCCTGCTGCTTTTAACATCTATTCTTCTTCTTTACAAATCTTATATTATTAACAATACTATAGTTGTATTTGATTATTTTGAATGCATATAAAGTGAAAAAAAGTTTCATATTCCATTCTTCATTTTTTAGGCAACCTTCAAAAAACAAAAAAGAAGTTTTGAACAGAATGAAGTTATATTTGCAACAATATCCAGATCATGATAATTTATTTGAAATTATTTCAACAATGTATTTAAAAGTTGTCACTGAACAAAATCATATGCATCGTAAAATGCCATTGAAGTATGCACTCGCGGGTAATATTCTAATTTAATAATTTTTCTTGTATCCATTTTTCACTAACTGCATACTTGATAATAGTTGGTTACTCTTGTAATTGTCCATATATCTACCTAAATCTAAAAGTTATGTATTATTTTCTGAGTTTAATATTGTATTTATTTTTATACTTCTGTTTTCAATATTTTTTAGTTGCATGCATGGTGATTGTGATGAGAAATCGTGGAATTTCAGTTTTAATACCAAAGCTTTGCGATGAGTTTGAAATTGATGTAAGACGTGTAATGCAGTTTATAGCTGAGGTGAAAATGATCACTTGTTTCTACTTCATATCTGTACACACAAAATGAATATCATTAAAATATTTTCCAATGTACTGTTTGTTCTGGAATGCTCTCTTGTGGTGTTGTGTTTACTTGTTTGTTTTCACTAATACTGCTCATAGACCGAATTTATATTGACTCACCTTCAACTAATGGAAAACACCTTCAAACTCTGGAAAACTTTGACTTATGCAAGACTCCTTAATAGACTGTAAAAAACACGTAGTGAACTTAATTCCTAAATGAATTTTGTAGGAAATTTTTAACTTCCGAGAGAATTCAAGTTTTACCACCGAATCCTGGCGGCTTGAAAATACAACACCGACTACATGTCCCGGGCCTATCCAGTCATTGATGCTATCATGCTATTAAAAGAGTTAAGACAAGACTAAGCTCCTCTCCCAGCATCTGAAATCCCAAATTTTGCATTCTGTCTTGTCTTTTGATTCTTCTTTTTGTAAGTTCTAAGGTCTCATCTCATCTTTTGCAGATAAAACCAAAGTTTGAAATTGATAATGTAAGTGAAGTAGATATGCAAACTTTTGTTGATAATCTCTTTGAACGCAATGCAAGTTTGAAAGGAAGGTAAGTATTTGATTTAGATAAATATGATAGGTCATTTATTTTCAACTTTGTCATGACACAAAATATTTACAATACACAAGACAAACACACTGGCCTGAAATTCAGGAAAGTTGCCAAAACTTCAAATGAGGCTTAAACATGAGACATAAAGTAAAGCATGGGCAATCTCGCATTGTTACATATCAAATTAAATGTGGGCTTCGAGCTTAGTAGCATTATGATAAATAGAAATGAAAAAACAAGGCATACACTCTAATCTGGCTTCAAGCCTGTGAGGATTGTGATAAAACATGCTGGCAATAACATACACAAAAGAGCATTCAAAATACAAATGTATATCTATGATATTTTTATTCACAAGTCGCATTATTAAATAAATAATATGAAAAATGTTAGATATCGATAAAGCCCAACCACTGTTGTAAAATCAATAAGGTAAAGAAAAGGAAATATATCTGTACCGGTACTGAGAATTCAGAACAAAATTAATTATTGGATACGACACGAGTGCATAAATTTTACAGATTGTTTTTTACAAACTGCTGCATTCAGGAGTCTGGTGGCAAGATCAAGTTTCCGACCAGTTGTCAATTTCGACTCTTTATTTGTTTATCGTATACTCCATCACTCACCCATTGTATTACATATTTACACATTACAGGACCTCTCTCAAAGATTGTACGTTGAAGTTGGTGAAACTCTTCTATGATCTTCATCTACATTCAAGCAGACCTTTACTAGCGTCTGTTGCTCTGTATTATGCTATACTTTCTGAATCTCATATGTGAGTGAAATATTGTAATTTGTTTCTAATTGAACTATTTATAGCGTGAGGAGCAATGTCAAAGCAAACCATGTTACTCTTATAAATAATAATTGCCCGATTGCCCTCGAGTCGCTGGTTCCAACCCCTTTTCCAAGGGACCCGTATTTAAAAAAAAATAAATATTGTAACTTCTCGTGACCCAAGGATATGCTCAAATACTGACTGCATTTAGTGCTTTTATGGCCGGTAAGTTAAATTATTAAACCATTATTTTTACGAGACATTTTGTAATCTGGCGTGGCATCACTTGAACAAAATAGATCCTGCCAAGTTTTTATTCTTTGATACTTTCCACATAAATATAATTCCTAAAGAGCAATACTTCAATACATAATGAATAACAAAATTTACAAGAAAATAAAATCAATAACTTTCATGTTTTGCTTGTAAAAACAAGCGACACGAGGGGATTTTCAGGTTGGGATCCTAACTGAGATGCTGTTGCATGAGCCACTCTGCAATGACATTCATGCCATCTGATGTTTGATGAATGTAAATATAATCGGAACGATATCTCTCTTCCATTTGATCACTTGGCACGTTGAGTTCACGTCAAATTTCTGTGTAGATTTTTTTATGGTATTATTTGCACAATATATTGTCATGATAAATTTATTGTAGGTCTTTCACAGGGCGAAACATGCATTAACAGCTTCTGAATATTGCAGAAGATATAATGTCAATCGAACCACAAGCTTCCAGAAGAATGTAACATCAGCGAGAACAAAGTTATTCCTGTTAGCTAAAAGGTATTTATCTAGGGGCACTTACCCGTTTTGTATTCAAAATTCTGTCATCCAAGTCTGAAGCTGCAATCTGAATTTTACAAGAGTCTGGGAACAGATTTAATGCAACGCTCCATATCCCTGCCATTATGAGTATAAGTTTCTTTTGACCCCATATACAGCGTAAAAAACGATAAAATAGTTGATGAAAACAAAATAAATAAATAAAACTGATTACAGAATCAGTGCGAACAAAACTTTAAGTAAGGTTTGAAACATACAGATTTTAGATGGAAAGGTTTTGTCAGAGGAAGTGGTACATGTTTGCTCACCCAAATGAATAAATAAATGAAAACACGCACATACAATTACGCAGACAAAATAAGATTAAAAGAGAGAAAAGAAAAAAAAAGAGAAATAGGCCTATAGAATATATTGCTTAGAAAAATATACAAACAAACAAAATAAGTTAATTTTTTTTTTAATTTTGCCACATCATATTAACAATTTTAATAGTGAAAACCTGACATCTTATTTTCAGTTTTCAAGACTTATTACCCCTTGTCGAGTAATGAAATTATGTAATTGCAGGTTACCGTGGGCTCCAGCTTCTATAAGTCAATCCAATTGTCATCATTACATCAAAGATATTTTAAAAGCAAAGAACTCATTATCTGGAACCGATTTCGGTTTAGATGCTGAAATACCTCTAGAAAAAAACTTGTTTAAACGAAAGCAAAGTATGATGACAAATGATTACGAAACGGCATCAAAATCTTGCAGAACACTTATAACGGAACAGAATGTGCTAGAACTACCGCCTGTTTCAATAAAGAATTTTGGGAAACGACCAAAAGTTGTTGAAACAGCTGAGCCTGTCAATGTATCAACATCCGAAGTTATAGGTGAAGATGAAATGTCAGAACGTGAACTGAATGATTATATTAGAAGTCCAGAAGAGATTGAAGTAGCTAGGAAAATACAGAATTTGGTTTCATGAAGTCTCTTTTTCGCTGAAACAATAATAATATTGTTTTGAGTTATGAGCAGGATTTTCGGGCACTTTAGGAGTAACATACCAATGAATGTGGATTTATAGGACATATTTTGGCATACTTACCACTGTAGCAACACATAACGAACCAGAAAGATATCGCCACTCGTACAACCCCAAATGTCCTATGAATCCATGACTACAAAGATGACTGAAAATCAAACTTGTAACTCAAATCATCTCGTGCTTTAGTGTGGTATGAAAAGTAATGTTCACTGTGTAATAAATAACCCTAGTCGATGAGTAAAATTCTCAGTTAGTGGGCTCTGTGAGAGCATTTAAGACTTTGGTTAACTTATGTATATTTTCTCTCGTCAGAGTGCTCTATTTTCTGTTATAACCAAGAACACTGGTTGATAGTGCAGAGGCTTATCCTTTGTCGGGATATGTCTCCATATTCATAACCAATAGGATATTTAGTTGGAAGCATTTGCTTGGCAAGATTTGGGTATTTTATTTGATTCATTGTGACTGATATAAGGCAAAGCCAGCCAGTTGTATTTGGGATGAATTTGTCTTTGCTTCAATTGCCTGGGAAGAAAAAAAAATGCTTGCAATCTATCACCCGATATTATATGAAGTTGTCCGATCTGAAAGTCTCGTCATTTAGCCCCGCAATGGGAGGTTAAAATATGCATAGCTTCCGGGAAATAACACTATTCTGCATGCCCTCTGCTGGTAGTTCACTGTTCTACTGCACTCACCGTTCCATGTCATAAGATTGGAATTATACACATACTAGGCGACAGTAAAGATGCGGACCTCGCATCCTAAGATCTACTCTTCCGGCATACAGTCTGATTACTCTGCGAGATAACATGCCAGAAGATTAACCCTTCAAGAAAATGAGCATGAAATTCAAACAACAGCAACAACTTTTACACTTTATTATTGCACATAGGTAGTACGAACCATATCAATTTATAGATTAAATGCAACACATTGGGTATATACACACAGTGGATGTTGATCAACATATAATTTCGCAGAATGGACATGTTCTTAGATTAGTATAGTCTTAATTATCAGGACTGTGAAGTTCTGCGCGATAGAATTAATTTCAAAATCCCTGGAGTTAAAATTTAGAATTCTTCGGAGTCTGATTTCTGAAAAAACTCTTATAGAGGTTGACTAAGAATACTTAACAACAATAAAAAGGGGTGCCCAAAAAATGGGATTCGGAGTATGAATTAATATCTGCCTCAAGCCTAATTGCCTCCAAGATAATTTTTTCAATGGCTCATGGTTTGATGGAGTGGGGGTATAAACGTTCTCAGACTCCACAGACCTGCTAATTACAGTAGATTCTGGTTTATTTCTGGTAAGTAATTATCATTTCATTGAGCAAATACCAACATGCTTCAATAATATGAAATAGCTACCTGCACATAAGCAGTAGGCTTCTAATTAATATATGTACTATCAGTGAAGTACCACCTATTCATCTGCATGTAACGTTCTGGCGCATCTGAACATTTGTTCTTGCTTCAGATTGCATAGATAAAATTAAGAGAGAATATTTGGGCTCAATGACAAGCAACATTAAAGAAGTGTACAGTAGGTCATGGAAAAAGTAGATTTTACAAGATTGATCAGTGGTAGACTACAGTTTACAGATAAATACACGAAAGAACGAACCAATTTTAGCACTGGGTAACCAAGGAAGCCAGTCTACAGGTGATAACCCAAGATAATATTCATACAAACAAACACGAATATTTTTTGCAAAGGACTATTCCAAGTTTACAGTTGAAGGGGAGAGAAGCATTGTTAGTTGTCACCCATAGAGTGCACCAAATTAACTGAATTTTTCTCATTTAAAAGTATCCAAAACCATATAGGGGGTACCACTAGTAAAAACAATTATATTTTTTAAATATAAAATAATTGTATTATTATTACACTCGAATACAGACCAAAGACTATAAAGTATCTATCATTAATTAAATCACATTCTTGGGGGAATATGGTACTTGTACAGAATATCACCGGGTTGCACAGAAGCTTTGTGAAATCTAACTTCCATTCCGTTCTTGTCCACATCTACTGTTGCAAAACCACCAAGACCAAATATATCAGCCCAATGAAACAGAAGTGATCCGTTGGGAATCTGGAAGGAAATGGAGAACATTAATGCTGGAAGGCGGTTCTCAAACAATGGGATGCGCCCAACAAAGGGGGTGGGTGTGGAGGTAAATGAAAATACTTATTAGATTTGATCTTGTCCGCCTTAGTTCGGCGAACTCAAAATGGAAATCTCGCATCATTTCCAAATCTTGGTGAAGCATTCGAAAACATGCTTGAGACTTTTCATTTATTCCAATATTCATGTGCCATCCACGTATTTTCACCGTGTTTTTGAACAAAACATACTTTCGCCTCACTATTTGTAGCTTATTGTTAGCTATTCATTTTTGAGGTGGGGCCTTGATAAATTCTAAAAAGGGCGGCTTAAAAAAGTTTGAGAACCACTGTATTAGCGGGTGTATCGCAAACCCTTTCTTTAAAAAAGAATTGATGATACTTTTTGATGGAATTTCAGTCCAGAATACGTTTAGTGTCGTTCTTACCATCTTTTGAGAAGGTGAATCAGGCATTGTTTCTAGCAAACGTGCATGGAGAGTCTCACAAAATTATATTAAACGTGAAGTACAAACCATAGTTTTCCAATATGCACTCATTTTACTAAATATTTTAGAACAATTCACAATTTTTCACCCTATAATTAAGATTTTCACAGAATAAAAGTAGGCTATCTATTTCAGCAATAGTTCAACAATGTGGAGTAAAACATTTACAGAGTATTTTAGTGTGTGTGTCACCTTTAAACTGATTTATGGCTATTCAAGAGTTGCTATATTTTATTTTTACAGTTGAGATGCACATCATTTCAAAATCACTTTTTCACTTTTTAAACAGATACCATTATATTGAAGCACATTAAATGTGTCAGAATACAGTCATTATAAAATGCGTTAATCATTTCCTCATATTTAAAATTTGTGAATAGAATGTATATTTTTTTGCACAAGCAAATGAAGCAATATTTTTTTTAAAACCAAATATATTGAAACAATTCAATGAGGTTAAAATAATACTAATTTACCTGCGAGTGCTTTTATAAAGTAATGCTTAATTAATGCAATATGTATTCAAGGAAACTGCATATTTATAAAGGTTGCTAAAGGGATTTCATGACAAAAAATGTTTCCATACAAATTATAGAGGTAACATATGAACTTACGTTGTCAACATGCTTCATACTAGGATCCACAACATCTACAGCACCAGTAACAAAGTAATTCATTCCAGATGTTGGATGACGAATGTGCTGAATGAAAGAAAAAAAATTTTATAACCAACTCCTAATTGACCCAAGAGACCATTGAGCATGATAAGTGTGAAATCTTTAAAGATTCATTATAGGCTGCACTGCATAAGAATAAATAGAAGCAATAAGTTTCAAAAATACCAATCAGATATCTTGACTCGCGATGCAAAGAGGTGTCGATGCTGTTCATAGCTAAAATTGCTAAGAGCGGAACACTGTTGATCAAATTCTCGACTCGTTTTTAGACATCATTCGGTGCATATTTGGCATGTCCTATTTCAAACATCCACTAATTGCCAATCATTACCCCATAGTCGGAAGTAAGTATATTGCGTTGTTCGCTCTTTATTATCTCTTAAATGAGCTAGTTATTTGGGTATTCAACGAAAGAACATAGCAATAGACCTCTTATTAATGCAATACCATTCTCATGAATATAGCGGGCCCTCATGAAAAATATTTGCATTCCCTATCATCTTGGGTGCGCAAAGCTATATCATATATTATAGCCTACTACGGTAATAAAAATGATAGCACAAATCGGTTCTTTTTTCAAACACCGAGTAGTCTCAAATCAAAACGAATATAGAAAATAATGTCTGATTTCAAAAATAAAGAACGATATACATTATATAAATATATTTCTAAGATGCTGCTGGCCTTTCTTAACTGTTGTAATAACCATTAGGGTATCACTCAAAGTGATGGTATTAACAAAACAATAAATTTCAAACGATTAGCAAAGGCTTTTTTCTCATAGCACAAAACTCACGTAACACAATTATTAACATGGTGTTGAAGGAATGAGAAAAAATTATCACATCACTAATTTTCAGTGACATGGTCAAATTCATTTTTAACATTTCGAAACGGAAATAGAATATATCGACCACAATTTACATGCGCACAATTTCACCATGTGCCATCTCTTGTCAATCAGCACAAACGATGTGTAAGGTAAATACCTCAATTACCACGGGGATAATCGCCATTATCAGCACCAGCTAACAGTGGTAATGTATTCTAAAGGTGAATGAAAGCGGGATGGTGTTGAATTATCTTAAGGTGATAATGCACTGAATAAAATGGTTTTTAACCATGGAAAAAGTGATGCACTGACGTTATAACAACACACCAGAAGTGAAAACAAAATTATACAACTGGGGTGGAGGTCTCTGGGGAGTATTTGAACCTAATGCTGGTTGCAGCATGGTCCCAATGGCAGATCTGAGTATTTACAAACATATAAACGTTAGATAACTATTACTCTCAACATATAGAATAACAATATACTATATACATACTTGAAGATTGTGGTCATGTCCATTAAAATATGCACTGACTTTATATTTTACTAAAAGTGGATCAAGAACATCTATAAGGCACTCGGTAGGTCCATGCTCAGCTATTGAATATACTGGAAAATGGCCCATCACCAAGATATATTGGGACCTAAGAATATAATAGAAATCACCAACATCATTATTCAAGTTAAGTGGTAATCAGATATTCAAGCTGATCTGAAATTGGATATATTCATTATTCAATAAGGTAAATTTTTGATTTCAATTTAGTTTGTCTTGTAGTAATGTAAAATGATGACTATTTGGATAAAATTGGCTACATTCACCCAAAAAAAACACATTTGTTTCCATGTATTTAAAGGTTAATCAACAAATTGTGTAATATTATGATGCTTCTCCCATTTTAAGCACCACCACTTCAAAAACCCCTATAAACAGTGCAACTTCTTCAAAATAAGTTCATGTATCTGAAACGAATAACTGGCTAACTAATCCCATCCCCGACATGTACTGGCAACTGGACAAGAGGCCGTAGTTCGCCGTATGATTAAACCATCTTATCAGCTTTCCTCTTCCCTGGATAAATATGTAAAATCATATTCTGTAAAATCCTACAAGTCCGAAAAAACTTCCAAGCAGATTAAAATAACCACTGATCTCCAACAGAGATAAAACATGTTACAAGATACTGCATATGCAAATACCCATTTGGCATTTGTTTATTAACAGTTCTTGCAGTAATGTTTGCCCTCAATCATACCAGTATTGCATAGAGTAGGTGAAGAGTAAACATCATCAATAAACAGTATTACCACTTTGATGCATTCATCAATGCACTTTCAATATACATTAATTGAGTCTCTGCCATCAGTAAATTCTCCGGTCCCTGTGGTTGTTCCAATTCACCATGTTCACCTGTGTTTCCACAGAGAACAACAGTGTCTATCATTATTATAGTCATGTTGAAGGATGGCCTCTGAAGATGCACTTGATACCTGATAATAATATAACAAGCAATCTTAAATTCAAGCATTTGTTAGGTTTATATATTATACCCAAGCCCATCACGGCAGTCATAACTTATTTAACAATTTATATTGATTCGCTATCGCTTTTTTACAATTTTCAGAACCTAAAGTAAGATTTCAATTGCTTAATATATTTTTTCAAATGAAACTATTTCTAAATTGTTCCTAAAATCAAGAATTTGGAATAGAACTAATTCCGAATTGATTCAAAATTCTATTAGTTTTGGACATCCCTTTACTGACTTTTTGAATTTTAAAAATTATAACTATATAATTGACATAAACCATAGCTTCGCCATTTTCAAAGCAATACAGTACATACATACATACAATACATTTCGTTTTATCAATAATAAATTGTAACTACAGCATCAAATGAATCATGAAATAAATTCAGCATGAATGTAACTACATATAACTACATAGTAAGCATTTACCAAGAAGCCATACAGGGAGAGAAGAGATCAAAGTCCTTGTTTTATATATGAAATAATAGGTCATATTATGATCAGATGGATAATTGAGCAATTCAAATTGGTAAAAATTGCTTGCTAATAAGAAAGATAGGAAATGATTGTTACACTAAATGAGTACCAAACAAAATGCAATAAAAATGTGTTGATGTAAGAATAAGATGAAAAACAAAAAAAAGATCTTACCACATATCAGGAAACTGCCATCTTCTTGAATGATGTGAATATGCTATCTGAGCTGAGACATTCCCATTATGATCATGATTTCCAGCAACAAGAAACCAGTCAATATCCATCAAACTTTGTTGACTGAATACATTCTCAAATGTCGTCTAAAATAAAATAAGAAAAATGCATATGGATGGTAAAACAGAATTTGATATACATACATTGCAAAATAAAGTTTTGAAGGATGCATCTTAACAGTTTGATGATATTAAACATGCAGAAAATGAACATATTCTTTGAGATATATATTCAGGCACTACACAACTGAGTCAAACTTGAAAAGGGGAGTTAATGATTCAACCCACAAAATATGAAATATATATATTAGTATATATATAGAAATGATAGCATAATATTGAGTGATAAGAAAACATTGATGAATTGCTGTCTGTGGCAAAAAAAACAAATTAATGAGCCATTTTCATTTAATATGCAGATGCTGTTACATTCCTGCATTCTGAGGAGAATTAAATCTACATATATTATTCAACTAAAACATTAAATCAAGAATCAGAAACATTTGTAACTCTGTGGCAAAAAAAACAAAATGAATTAACACTATTAACAAGCATTTTCATTTAATGGGCCATTCCAAGCAAAAGTTGAATTCCATCAATTTTTCAAAATGTGTAGTGAAAGTAATTTTTTTTTATTTTTGATATCAAAAGACATTGGAATTTTATTGGACTGCATTCATTTCATCGAACAATTTAAAATTTCACCCAGGTTTTTGATGGTTTATAAAAAATTGCCTGAAATGTGGAAATTTTGGTATAATTGACATATTTTGTGATGATTCCTGACACAAAGTGTTTGATTGTGTGGTACAGTTATTTCATATGGAATTGACACACTGGATTTAAGTTAATAAAGTTTAAATGTTTGCAGTGCTGTAGGACATTTCTTCACCCATTTAACGATTTATTACCAGAATTTTGAGAGATGATAGAGGCCGCTATTCCGAAGTGGAAAAATATCCTGTAGTGTCACGTCCTGTAGTGTCACATACAATATGCACATTATTGGCATGGATTTACAGTGTTACATTAACCTGTTTCAGACGCCCAATCGAGCCCAATTTTGAATACATTTTTATTAATGTCATACGACCCCCAAAATTTACCCAATATACAATAATTATATACCATTGGAAAGGTATTTTAGAGTACTATACGCTAGATGTCACTGGAGGACCGTAAACTAAAACACCTCTTTCAAGAGGTCTCTCGTAACGTCAAAAAATAACAAAAATATTTACACTCTCTCATTCTATCAGCTGTTGGACGTCTATAGCTATTGTAAAGCTGAAATGTAACTATACAGTTGACTGCACATTGGTTTTCTCTTTCATATGATACTAAACGCTTTTCCATAGCGCGCGTTGTTCAAGCGTTTTGGAAATTTTCCGTTTGAGAAGTCACCACATCGAATTAGGCCAGGCTATGCTTGATAGATCGATCGGTTGTTTGTTTGTGCTTTATCGCGTTGAAAGCTTTTGTGAGTCATAATAAAACATTTATTATGAATCATAAAAGCTTATAATCGTCAGACAAGGAGAATTTGCGAGATAAAACGCCTAACTTTTTTTCGGTGAGGCAGCTGCGATCAAACGACTCGATATTTTTATAACTTCCTGACGTTGTGAGATGTCCACTCTCCTATGTTATGTAGCATATAAAATGACCTTCAAAATAAGACCTTATCATACTAGCTTTTGTTATTGGTTAGCGCGCAACGCCAAGGTTTATGGAATCATTTTCTTGTTGTGCGACATTTTTATATCGCAGCGGGAAGTACACGCGTGATATGTAAGCGAAATTTTATCACTTCTAAATGTCATATAAGGTTCATTCTCATATCGTTGTGTGGGGAATAAGATTTCCTTTCAAGCAAGACCATAACAAACATTCCAGACCTCATGGTATACACACAGCATTGCAAAACGTCTGAAACGTCGCGCATGATCAAACCGGGAGGATTAGGTTAAGTAACTTGAGCAACACATAGAGGGGTAGTTCAGCTACTGCACCAGAAAATATTATGGGCACCTACTGTATCATCGCAAAAATTTACAGCACAACACAAAGTACTGTTAGTGCATGGTGGATTTGCCGTCCTGTAGTGTCACGCTATATTTTACTATATTTTTTTATCTACTAAGTAAGTCTTGGGTGTAACTTTTGTGCAATTTTTTACATATTCAATAAAGCAACTGATTGGACAATGAAACAAAACATGTAGCTGAAAATGTGAAAATATATTGCATCCAACAAAATGCAAAATTTCTGGAATTGTCCTGTAGTGTCACTTGGAATAGCCCTAATATGTAGATGCTGTTACATTCTGAGATGAATTAAATCTACATATATTATTCAACTAATACCTGAAATCGAGGATCAGAAACATTTGTAACTCCATCATAGTAAAAATTGTCTCCCAAAGCAAAAATGTATCTGGAGTCATTATATTTAGCTACTTGAGCCATTGCACTTGCTGTTGCCTTTTCGAATGGTGAGTAGTACGGCACCACTGGTAGTCCACCCCAGTCACCCATGACAATGAAGTTTAGGGCGTCCGTAGAATCTGAAAATTAAAAATTGTGACAATGAATTCAAAACAAGCAATTTATGTATTAATATGAACAAAGATAAGATTTAAATATAATGATCACAGAGTGAGTGTATGGCTGTATGAATGGTTTGCTCAGTTGTTATAAAAAATAGACTTTAATTTTTTTACTCTTTGTATAGCAGTATTGGCCTCTTGCCCGTCATCAGTCAGTTCATTTAATATCAATATTAAAAATATACTTACTCGAAATCCTTTCCACAAAATGCGCATCTGAACAAAGCACTGCTAAAATAATACAGAATGGAATTGATGAAACCATCTTCTCTATCTTTTTTTCATACAAAACCAAATCTATACGAAAAACACGAACTAAAAAGATTTTATATAGATACACAAAAAAAAACAGCAGTTGAAAGTCAAGTACAGAAGTGAGAAAACTTTATACCACCCCTATGCCTTACACTTATCAACAATCTATATGTAGACTAGGCCAGATGAAAATCTGTATACGTTTATGAGTGGTATTTAGGTCTGTAGGTGGTATGCATAACTACATTCCAAGTATATTTAGTCTTACACCCTTAGCTAGCCTTTCTGCCTGCACGATTATCCATCATTTTACAAAAAGCCTGCTTTAATTCTATTCTATATTTATACTCTGTGCCCATTTTGCGCAAAAATTAATTTCATATTCTGAGAATTCAATTGCTGTAATGTTGGAATATTTATAAAAGTTCCCGAAATTTATTCAATTATGATAGTATAACAAAATTTCAAGACAAAGCATCAGTCATGTCAGTGCTTGTCACTACATGACATACCGGTACCGAAGTGCAAGACACCATCGACGATACATTAAAGACGGCGAACAAAGCTTTGCACTGTTTTCGTCAGTGTGGCGAAAGAGAAAAAAAAATAAAACAAATACGGCAATCAACATTTCATTTCAACCCGGCATCGCCCGTACACAACCATGACACAACCAAGAGGCTTTACGCGACTAGATTTCACCTTGATTTACCTGTAAATGAATCATTCAACCTATATATTCAAGTTTTTCATAGCCCAGGATTGCTTTTCGTCCAATTGCCAGTCAAGGTTGGATGTGGGAATAGTTAGGAAGTTATAAATAAATACTAATACGCCTAAACCCACCAGCGCTTACATGAACCACCTCACGATCGTGAGCAGTTCCGCGATCTTCATTCATAATTGTTGGATTGGATTAAAATGGCAACACCTCAACTATCTCATTTGGTAAAGTATAAAGATCCTATCAGAACAAAATAGGGTCAAGGTGAATTTTTTTTTATTACCTACTAAGGAAAAGTGAAAAGTTTTACCGTATATATTTAAGCTGTTTAATGTCATTGGTTTGATACACATGCCATTGATTCTATCAGTTTTCTTTTTGGATCCCTAATTTCATTCATACATGCAAGCCAACGACTAACATACCAAGCATTGCATATGCATTCTCTAAAGTATTCTACAAAAAAAAATTGACCTCTGCATTCCGCTCTCGGGAGGCGTGAGCCGGGTTTAGCAAAAGCATTTGCTCAGTTTATTATGTGAGCGGCGTCGGTTATATGCGCGTTCTGTCACGTTCTCCTTACATGGCATGTTCGGATAGGTGTCGAAGGTCACGTTCTATGTTCGTTACGAGAATAAGCACAAGGGTAAAATAACGTATATATATTTGTATGTGCAAGCATTTCAAATGATTATTGGTATTATTTGGTAAACTAATTTGAACGCATAGCTCCATTAATTTGTGTGTATTAGACTACTGTATTACAGTATTATGGAGTTTTCAAAATAAGCTATTCAAGTCTGCAAGATGAACTTTCTGAACAGACCATGGAAGAATCGATGAACAGCGATACTGAATTACTGATACCATTACCTGTGGCTGTGCATCTGCAGCCGTGACTGATATCAGGATATATGCTGAACTGACAAACGTATTCAAGAGCTACCAGTTCTGCAGTTAGTCGTTTCAACTAACTTACACTTTTAGACAACTCATAAAATAACTATAAACTATGTGTCAGTGTGTGGTTTCCCATAAATATACAAATTTGTGCTTTGTTAAACTAAATTAAAGATATGCTTCAGTTTACCCTAATGAACACGAGGTGAGCTCAGAGCATGCACAGTTTTTCAGTACTGCAGTAAGTCTTCTGTATCTATAATCAAGCCAGCTTCCTAGTATAATATCAAAGTGATCGATGGTAACTACGGTAATTGAAGAGAAGCATAAAGTAGTAGCTATTTTGAAATATGTATCATATTTATTCAAAGATAAAACTACCAAAATATTTGTTTGTTGTGGTACCATATCACAAAGCATTCTACAAATTTTAATATTTCTATCTTTTTGTAGAGAGCTTTGAGTTTGACTAAATAAAACTAATAGAAAATGGCTGCAAAAAGAAAATTTTTTGTTGGAGGGAACTTCAAAATGAATGGAGATCGAAAAATGTTGGATAGCATTGTGGAAAATTTGAATAAAACAGAATGTGGAAATACTCAAGTAGTTGTGGCTCCACCAACAGTATATCTCTCGTATGTGAAGGAAAAATTGTCGGATAAAGTTAATGTAGCAGCTCAAAATTGCCATAATGTGAGACGTTTTTTGTTACCATTTGTATAGTTTTATTTAATCAGTTTTTTGTATAATTGTCTTTTCTATTATAACTATTTATAATGTCAGTATAATTTTCAAGTAATTCTCCAGGTGAAATATAGAACAATAAAAAGGAAGTTTTGGATGAATGATGAAATTCCATTAGGTATGGGTTCACTGCATATTATTTCAAATGACCTATTCTTGACTTAGGTTGCCAAAGGAGCTTTTACTGGTGAAACCAGTCCAGATATGTTGCTGGATTTAGGTATTTCCTGGGTGATTCTTGGCCATTCTGAGAGACGACATGTTTTTGGCGAAACTGATGAATTGATTGGTGAGTCTTATTTGTGCATACATTACATTTAATCTTATCTATTGGCAACACATGTTTTCGCAGTATAAAATTGTATTTTGATATTGTGTTTTGATGAATGGTGCCAATTTTATCTAGTGTTTATTATGATTTTCAGGGAAGAAGGTTCATTATGCACTTGAGAAAGGAATGCAGTTGATTCCATGCATTGGAGAGAAACTTGAAGAACGTGAAGCAGGTACCACTGAACAGGTTGTCTTTGGGCAAATGGAAACAATCAAGAATAATGTTAATGATTGGAGCAGAGTGGTCATTGCATATGAACCAGTATGGGCGATTGGTACTGGTAAGGTTGCAACTCCACAACAGGCCCAAGAAGTTCATCAGAAACTCCGCCAGTGGTTGGCTCAAAATGTTTCAGATGCTGTAAGCAAGTCTACTAGAATCATCTATGGAGGGTCTGTGTCTGCCGCTAATTGCAAAGAACTCGCAAAGCAGCCTGATGTTGATGGTTTCTTGGTTGGCGGTGCCTCTTTGAAACCAGAGTTTTCTGACATCATTAAAGCTAGATGTTAAAAGAGAAGAAAATATTAATCATAATAGATGTTTCAAGTTCAACATTTAATATAAATTCTAATTATTCTAGGTGCAGAATTCTGTACTTTTTTCGTTAATCAGTTTTGTTTCATAGCTAAATTTTCTTACTGTGTGTGCTATATATTTCAAATATCATTTGGAAAAGGATCAGGATAGGAATGATCCATCGAAATGAATCTTACATGATTATAGTCATAAGCTTAGCAAGAATCCGGTATCATGCATGAAATTTAGTAATTGTATACTTAAAGCCAGCCAGTTGAAACCACGTTCAAAGTTTTCTGAATTTCCATCATGTACCGTATGTTGGTATTCATTTACCAATAGGAGAACACTTACTAAACGTCTCCCAACTGCTGTTTGTAAGCAAGGATAGTTTCAAATTATAGTGTTGGAAAATTGAGTCTGGGATGGCTGTAACCTTCGCTAGTTTCTTTTTCAAGTTGTAACCGCTGACATGTCGGAAGCTTCTGAGAGAAAGCATTATAGGGTAGAATTTCACTTAACCTATACGTCGCCATACGTCAGGTTTTCCTCGGGCATGTCCCGGATTTTATTGGTCAAATTTGCGTCTGGGAGAAATGTTAAAAAGTGCCCAAATGTCAGGGATTTTCGAATACAGTGAAGCCGTACTACACTAGGGTTGCCACACGTCAGGTTTTCCCCGGACATGTCCGGGATTTTATTGGTCAAATTTGCGTCAGCGAAAAGTGTCTAAATGTCGGGAATTTTCGAATACAGTGTTCCTACTAGGCTACTAAACATCCTCGAGTTTTCAGATATTGCGCGTCCGAGAATTCGATTTTTTCCCAGATATGTAACATGCAGGCTTTGTTGTTCAACATGAATTGCATCACATTGTGATGTCACTTATGACCTTTATTGTCAGCATTTTGTAATCGGTATTTTGGTTGCACAACCTGTACTTTACTCCGTGCTAGGGTTTAGTGCTGAAGATTGAGCTGCAATTTTGTACTGTTGAAAATGGCTAAGTGAAAATTTAATATATATATGACATGAAGGCAGAACACCCATGCTTCCGAAAAGGCAGAAATGAATGGGAAGCAGAATGCTTAGTTTGTAGACAAGGAACATACATCTCAGCCTACTACAACGGATTTGCGGATTCAAAGTCACATCTAAGTTCTGATAACATTTTAAAGTAGTGACAAGAACTTCCTCATTTAAAAAAGTGACAAATTTTGTCACAACAGGATCTAAAACAAATGATTAAGTTACTGCTGCCGTGGGCACTTAGCGTTACACAAGCATCACGGCAGCTTTTATCTATGGATTGTACGTCCCCTTCGCTAAATAAACGTTGTCTGATTCTGACTTGAGAAAGTATTGTGTGCCCCCCCCCCCCCAAAAAAAAAGGGAAGCGATCATTTCATCTGCACTTGCACCGTATTCGATCGATGCTGCCCTAAAAAGTTTAGTAGAAAATGGTATTGAATATTGTGCAATTGATCCAGTAAAATGCCACAATTTTGCTCCTTCCGTTTTGTTTTGTAATTTTCTATTCTCACGAGCAAGCGACGGCAGCTTGTGCCTTGGGATACATCGGGAATTTATATAATATTGTAAGTATTTTGGTTGCAAAATTGGTCAACGTGTTTCACTAAAATTTTGTCAGGCATTTTGTCTTTTCAGATATTATAACCCTAACTTAACCCCTTTGATGTTTATCAGCAACGAATACATTTCTTATGATTGGCTGGTCGGCACATTCACTAACTTATCAAACTGCAAGTTTTCTAACTACTGCATGGAACGCAGCGACTAACATACTGATGGAACGTAAGCGTTTCAAGACTATCAAAATTTTAAGATTGCTTGCTTTTATCACCATTACTGACTAGACTAGATATCTCGGCAATATCGGCCATTTTTTCAGTATCGGTTAGATTAGGGCCGATATGTTTACCTCTTTGATATGGTTCAGAATGTTTTAAAAGATAAGTTGGAATACTACTTTTCCATTTATTTTTTGTCTGGAGAGATCGTGATCTATGAGCCATACATGTCCCAACCCCCACGAGAGAATATGATTCACGTGTTTTAGCTATTTATCAGCCAAACTAGCTCAACTAATTTGGCTATTTTCGCTGTCAAATTTTTATATTGACATTTTTAATATTACATAGTAATTATGAACACAGCACATAACAAAAAGCAACTAGGAGCCCAGTTTTAAATCATACAGTGGAATTTGGGTCCTTATTAACGGCACATGGACTTTTGGCACGGGTATAAACTCTGACTGTTTGTCGTCAAGTACGAGTGTCATTTAGTCCGTCGACATCGATAAACTAAATTCAAAATATATGATAGCAATTGTAAAATATTATAAAATAGTGAAGTAAAAAAATATCCTCGACGGTTATAGGTAGGCCTTCTTTTCGTCTGTGCTGATTGATATTCTTTCATTTTGGCTTTGACTTATTGCGTCGACGATTACGATTATCCACGAAATAAAATATTTGTAAAATGCTTTTAATTTGAACGTAGGACGGCGGCGCTAGAATGTGTGGGTGATATTCTTCTGAACACGAATAACGATATTCGGAGGTCGCGATATTAACATTAAATTCAAATTGGATACCAAACATTAATTTCATATTATGTGATATATCTTTTTTTTCGATCTGAAATAATGTGTACTATGAACAACGCTCAAAGATCATTGTTTTAACCCGTCTGCCCTACACAGCACACCTAATTAAGTAATAATTACATAGTATCGGCCTTTTTGTAGTATCGGTATCAGCGTTTTCAGCTGGTATCGGTATCGGCGACAAAAGCGGTATCGGTACATCTCTGTTACTGACTGGGCTATCATTCTACTTGTAATGCTTCTACCAAATAATCGCTCTTTGGGCCTAACTCTGTTCTCCACTAGATACTCTTCCCACTTTTTCCATTTTCTCGAAGTCTATCCAAAAACCGACCCTGATTTTACCGTAACTAATCCCACCCACGCCGGACTTATCGCAACAGCTATAACTTCTTTAGCTGCATGTCTAAATCCGGAATTACATATTTATCCCGGGGGAAAAGAAAGCAAACCCACCACATCTAACTTCTCTTGTCTGAACCCGCCTGCCAACCCTATTAGGCACATTCTTATAACTCAGTATTTAGACTTCTGCAACCTATTTCACAAAGGTACCGTATTTCAATTTTCCGAAATTTATGCGAAATTTGTGCGATGAAAGTATGCTAACAAAGTCGAAAGGGCCGCCCTACTGCATTTCTCCTGCAAGGGTCTCGATTACGTGATTTGTCCCTGACCTGTTTCCATTCTGTCCTTCTCTAACAGCCACTCACTTTAGCCTGGATTTTTCCCATTCTGACACTTCTCCTCAAATCTAAGGCAGGCTACCAACAACATTACGTATTTAAAGTTATCTGCAGACAATACTTATGTCCAGTGATGAGCTGGAAAAATCGTGACAATCGCACCTGATCCGTGGGTGCGCCGGGAAAAAATCCAATAAAGAATAAACGTTTCCGGCTACAGCTCACCACTGTATAGGTGTAAAAGTATTTAGAAGTTTGGAAATCCCTGCTATACATGAAGCCAGAAGAAAATGATGGATTATATCTTTTTTATTTATAAATGGAAAAATTATAACATGAGATAATGAATTTTAAGTCACGCTGATCTGTATTCCTGTAAAAATGGAACATTCGGTTTGTAAAACTACATTTCAATTGCTTATTGATGTATCCTGTATCCACCAACCGTCAGAAATGTTGCAGTTTTTGGCAGTCTTGGCACATATATTGACAGCATTGGTAATGGCTGAAACTAGGCTTGCACGTAATTTACGGAATTATTTCGAGTTACGGAAGGGAAGTTACGAATTACGTAAAGTCGTAAATATTTGTCGAGCTCTTTCACGATTGAAACGAGCTCTCTTCAAAGCAGTCAATTCCGTCGATTGTAAAAAATGAAAGTTTAATGAGGAGAGTTGCGTCAATCTCAGCCGTTTTTCTCTCTTTCGTTACGGAGGTGGGGTAAGGCATGACGCGTTGCCACCCCCGTTTGAAAGAAAATTTTAATGTGCAATTTCATCTACAAAAAAGCAGCAGCGTCGTTTTACGATTGCGCATCTTGGTTTCCCGGTCAAAACGATATTATTCTCTGCATTATCACGCAGTTAACACCGCCAGACTTTTTTGTCTTCACGATATGGTATCTTTTCGGCGCTGATAATGAATAAGAATGTGTGATTGTTGATTGCAATTTCGGAAGTCGTATTTTTCTTTCTCTTCATGAAACAGGCATGAAACGAATTTTACCGCCGTTATGGGCGCACAAAAGGAGAGAAGGGACTTTCTTCTCCCGACTCAATAAATTTTTATTAATACAAATCACAGACAATAGAATTTATTAGCATTAATTTACAACCAGTTACGGGTAAGAATTTACCGACGGCTTTCGCTAACAAATCACAGCGCATTGAAAAGCAGAATAGAATTTATTAGCATTAATTTACAACGAGTTACGAGTAAGAATTTACAGACGGCTATCGCTAACTGGTAGCAACGATGACTGTGAAAAAAATATTTCCTCCCCTTATTGCGTCATATTTTCAAAAAGCGGTAGATTACTCGGCGCCGTGATAATTAATTTCGCGCTTATCAAACAGCAATATGACGGTGTAAGAGAAATTACGTAATGAACCAACGCAACTTCGTCTTTTCGGCATCGGTAAAGCGATTGAGACGGCGGAGAAACAACAAAACGACGGGATTTCCCGCCGACCGGTAAAAATCCTTTGTGGACCGGTGACGATCAAATATAATCAAGTATGAGTCAGTGTGTTTATTCTGTGCGAGATTCATTTTCTATTACGAAATCTTGATGTTCTGTTACAGGTTTTATCGTTATATTTCTGTCCGGACTTGGCCTTGCTCAGTATGTTTTTCACAATGCCTAGCATTTTCGGCCAAATGTGATTAACTGTCTTTACCAAATGCGGCAACTTATTTTTATTTATCGCGGACTCGAATACCACCGCCACTCGACCAAACTTGTGGCAATTTTGGGCGATAGCATCGTCGATTTGAGTTAGAAAAACGAGTTAATTTTTTCGTTAGTGCAAAATAAATGTCACAATATGCATTGTTTTGCGATATAACTTTGTATTTTCGGTAAAGGCATGTCATATAAGTACGGCATTTAAATTATGCGCAAATAATTAATATTTGATACAAATTTATCGATAATAATGTTATAACATTTAGGACGCGGAATGATTTAATGTAAAATGAGGCATGGTAATCGGAATATCGTCAATAAGTCGGCATCAATAATTATTATAAAATGCTAACTAGGTGGTGAAGTGGGATAATGTAAAAAACGGTGCGATGAGAAGTCTTCGTCGCGAGGCAAGCGCAAGTATAATCAAACGAGAGAATACGCTCGTCGTAGATTTAATAAATTGGAAT